CCAAAGTTTGGTTATCCATTCCTCAGCTGATGGATACCTAGGTTATTTCCATCTTTTGGCTATTGTAAATAGTGCTGCGATGAACATGGGTGTACATATGTCTGTTCTTGTCATCGTTCTCACTTCTAGTTATGGAATGGCTGGCTCAAATGATATTTGTAAATGCAACTTTTGAAGGAATCGCTATACTGCTTTCCAGAATGGTTGTACCATTTTACGGTTCCACCAGCAGTGCATGAGAGTCCCAATCTCTCCATATCCTCGCCAACATTTGTTATTTTCTGTCTTGTTGAACTTTGCTGTTAGTGCTGGAGCAAGATGGTATCTCATTGCTTTGATCTGTGATGCCTGATTTCTTGACTGTTGCTTCCATTGGTCTTGCTTGTGGATCCATGTAAAATGAAATCCATGACAACTTCATTTATTGTGTATTATTATTATTCTTTTCTTCATTTATTGTGATGTTGCTTATTGGTGCAGTTGTGAGGATTTTTGTTTTCTTTATGTTGAGGTGTAACCCATGTTGAAGACTGTAGTCTTTCATCTACATCAGTAAGTGCTTCAGGTTATCTTCATTTTCAGCAAGCAAGGTTGTATCATGTGCATCTCACAGGTTGTCAATAGTTCTTCGTCCAATCCTGATGCCGCGTTCTTCTTCATATAGTCCAGCTTCTTTGATTGTTTGCTTGCCATAGAGATTGAATAAGTGTGGTGAAAATATAGAACCCTATGTACACCCTTGTCTGTCTGTTTGTCACCTTGTGGTGGCTTGTATGTTGCTGTGAAGCTGGAGGCTATGCCCCAGTATTTAAAATACCAGCATGGTCACTCGTGGTGGACAGGTTTCAGTGAAGCTTCCAGACAGAGACAGACTGGGAATAAGGAAGGGGCCATCCACTTTTTTTAAAAAAAGTAACCACTGGATACCTTATGAATAGCAATGAAACACTATCTGATATATTTCTCCCTGAATGGAAGGGAAAAATCAAAACACCCCTCTACTTCTAGGAATTTTATCAATGTCCCTAGAATTTCCAGTCTTCTACATCCTGCATGTGGAAGTGATCCCTGTTATAGTTTTTGTGTCTTTTTATAAGTGCTGTATTTAAAAAATCTGCAGACTGGCCCAGATATAGCTACCAAAAGGTGGTGGTTATTGTTAGCTGCTATCGAATTGGCCACTGACTCATGAGGACTCCATACATAACAGTACTGGAACATTGTGATCCATAGGGTTTTCGTTATCTGGTTTTCAGAAGTGATCACCAGACTTTTCCTCCCAGTAGGGAACAAGACACTCATATCCCAAGAAAGTGTGATGTCATAATCCAATGGGTCCTACCTTCAGAACAAGTTGTCTTTGGTGGCTCATGTTTGATCTCAACACATGAAGTTTGTATTCTGTGTATAAGCTATAAAGCTGTGTTTGTTTTAATATAAAAGTAACACTATTATTTTGTGTGTGTTTCAAAAACCAAACATTCACATGATATAAATGCCCCAGGAGGATGTACTGTTTCATCCTATGGTTTCTTGCACCCCCACGTACCTTTGATGTGCTCCAAAGGGTGCCCACCCTCCAGCTTGTGAGACAACCAGCAAGAGATATCAGCAACATGCTGAACAGCATTAGGAATCTTAATTTTATTTTAAATATAATACTTATTATATTTTTAATACAAAGGGGTTCAGAAAATGGCTCCTTGGCCATATAACCCTTGTTGAAGTATAATAAAGCAACAATTGAAAAAAAAAAAAAGAAAGAAAAGAAAAAAGAAAGCCAAATAGTGCAGACAGAACAAAATAAAAACCAACCAACCAACAAAACAAACTGACCTCTACCTAATCTCTTTGAACAAAGTTAACCATAGTTAGGAATATTTGTGGTGCAGTTTAGAAAAAAAATAATAATAATGCTTGCTAGTGAGGTGTATGTACATGTTTACGCATTTACACAATAGGGACCATACATACTGTTTTGAAACTTGCTTTTTTGCTTATAATATCTTCGTGTACTTTAATATCAGTATATGCAGATTATTTTCTTTTTAATGGCTGCAGAGTATTCCTTAGTAATTACAGATTTTACATTTAAATACCTCTATTGCTATATTGCAGTGATAAATTCTAAAACATTATTTATGTTAAACATTGATGAACAATATCATAACAGAAATTGTAATGGAGATAAAGCAAGGTGTTGCCAAAAATTCTTATATTGGGTAAGGCAAGGAACTAATGAAGTCTAAATCTCTTGTCATTATTAATGTTTGATGTGGTGACAATTGTCAGATCCAGCCTCTGTATTCTCCCAAACACATAAAATAGCTTCATAGGAGAGACAGACTTTGGACATCATTGGGAATCCTACTTAATCAGTTAGCTGAATTGTAGGTGCTTAGAATGAGTTTCATGTGTTCTTACCTTAGAAAACCTTAGAATATAATGGAACAGGCAGGCATGTAAATAGGTCATTTCAATACAGTGTGACAAGTGCTATGGCAGTGGTATGTTCAGGATGTTCTGGGAGCAGGTGTGGGGTACTCAGTCCCCTGTAAGTGTGCACATATACATTTGCCAAGGTGTGTGTTGGGGAGTGTGATCAAAAACTTGGAAGGACAATGTGTGAGCCTAGTCACTAAGGATGAGTGAGAGTAATCTTGGTGGAAGAAGAGAACAAGGCATTCCAAGCCAGGGAGCAAAGAAACAGAAACCATATGATGAGTTGGGGGAATCACAAGTAGCTTAGTGTTACAAGAATATAAATTTGAGGCCGAGAGTAAGAAGGATACAGATCTGTTCATGGCAGACATAGTATATCATGTAAGGAGCTAGGAATTCCTCCTTAAGTCAGAAGACATGCGTATCTTTTATAAGATCCCTTAAATACTTCAAATATTCATCATTACTCTTTGAAACTCTGGAAAACAGCTTTTGACTTGAGCCAACTGTTAGCTCAGTTATCTGTGCTTGATTCTATTGCATCCAAGGTCTTTGGTTCAGTTTCAGATTTCACAGGGTTCTGCAGAATACCCAGAACCTTAGTCAGCTGTTTCAAAAATATTGCCAGAGCTCATTGCAAGGGAAGGCCTAGTTACAGTGTACGTGAATGAGTTCAAATCTATCACCACTGCCAGAAAAACAACGAAGAGTAAGTGCCGTGCTGATACTGTTGGCCTGAAGCATCTTTGGCTACCTAAGGTAGCCCATCACTGTCATGAACATTGTTATGAGATGAAGGAACACAGCCAATCCACCTAAAGTATATTGCTTGTGTTCAGGTTAAAAAGAGAAACGGTGAGAATGGGAGTATGGTGATTTGATCTGATGATTAATAGTTGGCTTTTCTTTTACTTTGGCTTCTGAGTCTTTTCACTTCAAATCGTTCTGTATTTATTTAAATGCCAGGTAAAACTGCTAGTTATTTAGTGTTAAGTTGGTGGAAGGCTCTGGAAAGAAAGAAACTTGAAAGAGGAACTAAAAGGGGAAGACTTCATTTCTTTACTAAGAATATAGATAATCCTTTTTAAGCCCCGAATTGTGTCTAGCAGTAAAAATGCATTTTTGTAGGAAGGAAGGCAATGGTCCCTCTTGTGTTACCAAAATTCATCTATTTATACCTTTTTACTTATTTTCACTCCATACATAAGGCTTTTTCCTAGAATGTTCCATAACAGAATTCAAGGAAGATATGTTAAATATGGTGCTATCATTTACAATTGCCATCTGTAATGTTTTATTTAGCTGAATCTTTCTTTCTTTTTTTTTTTTTTTCCCACTGCTCCCTGCACAACACGGAACACCATATGCCATTGTCCCTGTCAGAAAGCAAAGGTTTCCCTGGTCTGTGCCTGTGCCTGTGTTTATGCCACAGAGGAGCTGTGGTCCAGTGCCATCTTTTATTGATAGGGCCAGCAAAGGAGAAATCTAATGAAATTATCAAAGCTTTGAATTAATTATGAACTTGAATAGGAGAGCTAAGCTCTCTGGAGCCAAGGATCTCATTACCCATTCACTCTCATTGCATCCTCTTCTGGAGCAGAAGGCATTTTCAGCTACAGCTCTTAGCCTGGCTTTGGACTTTATTCAAACTTACTAAACTGACATCTTCTTCTTACTACAATGTGGCTGTTAATGTCCATGATGATTAATTTAATTCTGCTCTGGATCTACAGGACATGTAAATAAGTTTTCTCTACCCCTCCTTTTGCCTTTTGTTATTATTTTATCCATCTCTTTCATTACATTGGATTTTATATAAGTTTTTATCCTTTTGGGGTAATGTGTGAAGCTTTTAAGATTCAGGTGTAGCTCTACAGAACATAGTGAATGATTTAAAGTTGAGAGCTATCCTCCATCTACTGTGTATCCCCTGGATATTTAGGTAAGCACAGGCAAATATTGCTTCTTTGAATTATGAATACCAAATTGAAGTTTTGCTTGCTTGTTTCTACTTTAGAATTATCAGTGTAGCAAATAACTTCCATGGTCTTAATAACATTGTTCATATTTCTAATGTGCAATGTATGGGAACAACAGATCTCACATTGTGGTTGTAGCTTGTAGAACTTATGTTCACTGATAGGTAGTAGTTAATGTTTGCCTTATAATTTTGTTTTTCCCTCTCCCAGGAATATGACTTTTTTTGATGAATAAATCAACCCGATTGTTTTGAGTCTAGTAACAAAATCAATAACAATAAGGTTTTGATTTACTATTGGTGGTGATTCTTTTGGTACTGTCATATAGGTTCAGAGATCTCATGACAAGCCTTTTCTACTTGCTTTTGAGACCCATTATTTATGAATTCCTAAGTTGTAGCTCATCTATCTTAGTAAACTACAGGCCACTGGCAATTTTTGTAAGCAGTGACTAACTTTGTTTTTTGGAGTCAATGTTTTGAGGTTTTGTATAGTGGGGGAAGGAAGAATGCCAATTTGCTTTTCCTAGTCTTATTATTTTCAGTAAGTTTTTTTTTCCCCTATTTGTTTTCTCTGTAGGCAGCTGCAATATTTAATTCAGCCTTTGGAAGCTTTTTGGTAAGTAAACATGATTTAACTTATTTTAACTTCTTGTGATGTGAGTATGAAACCTTTAGTGAAAACTGGTCTTGTTTTACTATTTGCTTAAATATAAAATTTCTTGAATTTTGTCATGTGCCATCATCAATATCCTGAAGAAAATTAGTTAATAACTAAAGCAAATGTTCTCTTACAATATAATTTGGAGACTTGAGTTTAATATTCCATTTAATGGATTCAAGGAATCAATTAAAATACTACGTTTCTCTTTATAGAGGTTATATCAATATATTGATCATTTAATGAGGTCTTTTAGATTATTATTATTTTGTATCATGGGACCAAGATTTTGAAAAGGAAACATGACCCAGCTGGTCAGAAAGGGAATGCTAATTTACTTGTTGACATGTCATTTATTTTGTACATTTCATTGTCAGTGAAGCTTCAGTCTTGGATACTTGTGAGAAATCTATGTTAAAAAAAACTTCAAAGGTAGAAATAACTAGTGAGTAATTTGTAAGAAAATGTAATATTTTTGGAGATATGAACTATAAAGTTTATGGAAACAAATTTGAAAGTAATTCAACTTTCATAATGTAGAACCAAATATAATTACAAGGCCAATTATATTTTAGTGTTTTTATTATTGTTTTTTGAATAGGTAATGTGACAAAGACTTGATTTGAAAGAATGAGAAAGAAAATACATATTCTGTGAATTGAATAGTTTTGTTTATACCTTAAAACTTTGTTAAATTCATGAAAATGCATTAGAATGTTATGTTTTTGATACATAACTCATAAAGAAACATGTATTGTAGTGATTTACAAAAAATTGAGAATAAAGTTAGTGGAGTATAAATGAAAGTCTAGGAAAAATATCAGGGACCTGTGTTTAAAATGCTCCTATGTCACTTAATATTTTATGTACTTGAAACAGTGTTAATTCTATATACTATTATATGGATTTATAACGTCACGTAGTATTAAAGCTTTTAATGGTGTAGCTTCCTTAGAATCTACCCTATTGTTTAAAATGTACAAATGTCATAATCACCCAATGCTGCTACTTATTTTAGATTCAGTACCATTTTGCTAGGTCATTAGTTCACATGGGCAAGTATTATTTTCTATATGTTGCCACAATTGTTTGACAGAGTAATATCTGTAAAATATGATTTTGCTGGAAGCCAATTTTTGTATATGGTTTGAAAATTATATACATCCACTCTCCTGGTTTCCTAAACCAGGCCCCTGATGCTTTAAAATAGCATGGCTAATTGCAGAAAAGTTAGGGCAATTATGTGAATAATGAAACAAGATACCCTGTCACTTGGTACAGGATGAACTTGTTAGGTATAGTTTGGGCTTTGTCCTGACATATTATACTATCTGTTATATCAGGCCCAGTCCTTTGATAAGGCCCAGAATTAGGTGAAATTTGTTCTAGGAGTGTTTTAGTTATCTAGTGCTGTTATAATAGAGATACCACAAGTGGGTAGCTTTGACAAATTCATTTTCTCCACTTTAGTTGGCAACAAGTCTGAATTTAGGATGCCAGCTCTAGGAAAAGGCTTTTTTTTACTGTAGGCTCTTGGGAAAGGTCCTTGTCTCTTTGAGCTTCTGCTCCTGGGCAAATCTTCATGTGACTTGGCATCTATCTTCCCCTATCTTTGCTTCCTAGCTTGCTTGTTTAATCGCTTTTGTATCTCAGAAGAGATTGACTCAAGATATACCATACACTAATACTACTTTATTAACATAAAAAGGAAAGGCCATTCCCAAATGGAATTATAACCACAGACATGTTGTTGTTGTTGTTGTTATGTGCCGTTGAGTCGGATCCGACTCATAGCGACCCCTCCTTGGGTTTCTGAGGCAGCATCACTATGAAAGTAGATTGCCCCATCTTCCTTCCGAGGAGTGGCTGGTGGATTTGAACCGCCAGCCTTCTGGTTAGCAGTCAAGTGCCTTAGGCACTATGCTACCAGAGCTCCAAACCACAGACATAGAGGTTAGAATTTACAACACATATTTTTGGGAGACACAGTTCAATTCATAACAAGGACTTCCTTAGAATTTTTACTGCGTTCTTTCATTCTAATAAGATGTAAATTTCTAGTTGTCCTGATTTTTTTCCTTCTCCACTTCTTACCTTAATTCAGCTGACCAATCAAAAATATGTTTTGATTTTCTGCCACAAAGTAGTTTTCTAGTAGCTGTGGAGGGTGCAGGCACCAGGGAGCAAGGGCAAACAGGGCCGGCAGCCAGAACAGGTAAGGTGGGCTGAGAAGAGCCCCAGGTGGCAGGCAGCAGTGGCAGACAGGGCTGGCAGGAACAGGTAGGGGGTAACCCAGGAAGGGAACAGAGCGGTTGTAACAGCTAAGGGAGATGAACTTGTCTGTCGGTTTGTCATACTTCAATGTTGCTGTGAGGCTGGAGGCTGTGCCAGCAGGGGGGTGCCCATGGTGGACTGGTTTTGGTGGAGCTTCCAGACTTAGATAGACTTGGAAGAAGGCAGAGGCCATACATTTCTGAAAGAATTGGCCAGTGAAAACCTTATGAATATTAGTGAAACACTGTCTGATGTATTACTGGAAAATTTTATGAATAGCCCTGGACCATTGTCCAATACAATGCTGGAAGTTGAGCCCTTCAGGTTGGAAGGCACTCAAAATATGACTGGGAAAGAGCTGCCTCATCAGAGTAGAACCCACCTTAATGATATGGATAAAGTACAGCTTGCAGGACCTCCATTTGCTGAAGTGGCCCAACTCAGTATAAAAAGAAACAGCTGTAAACATCCATTGATAATCAGAACATGGAATGTACAAAGTAAGACTCTAGGAAAATTGGAAGTTGTTAAAAATGAAATGGAACGCATAAAGATTGATATCTTGGGCATTAGTGAGCTGAAATGGGCAGGTTTTAGCCATGTTGAATCACATAATCATATGATCTATTGTGCCGGGAATGACAAATTGAAGACTAATGGTGTGGCATTCGTCATCATAAAGAATGTTTTGAGATCTATCCTGAAGTACAGTGCTGTCAGTGATAGAATAATATCCATATGCCTACAAGGTAAACCTTCCTGTCTTTTAATCCTCTTTCTCTTGCTCTTCTGGCCTGCTTCTTTGGGCATCCCTGAGTTTCCCCTCCTCACCTAATCCCTTTGGCTGATTGCTCTTCTCTTTGGCTTCCTGGGTTTTACCCCTTTCTCCTGCTCTCC